TTAAGACTGTACATAGTCCTCATTGCTCTTGAAAATTCAATGGGAAAAATTAAGCAAAACTGCAGTCAGTTAAGGGTTTGGCTTTTGTGTTTTCTTTTATCAGATTTTTTTTAAATGTGTCTAAAATACTGTAGAACATCCCACCAGTCCTAAACCCTTTTGGATCAGATTTTCTTCATAAGAGAGACTTTCTTGTTGTACTGTTTGAAAAATTACATATCTTTCACTGGAACCAATTATAATAACAAATAATTGTTTAGCCACACAATTTGAATATGAAATTAGGATCCTCAGAATGACTCTTAAGAATCAAGCAGAGTTCATCTCTGACTTTCAAGAAATGGTCACAGTTTTATGTAATTTTTCAAATAAAAATTAAACATTTTATATTATATGCACCTCTCCAAATTCCTGACCATTCCCAGACCATATACTTTTTGTCTGGGAAAAAAACCCACACATGGTTGATCATGGAACTGGTTCTTGACTTTACATGTCTCCTTTCTAATGTTAATACAAAATCAGAAACAATCTCCACAGACCTTAAGCCTGGACCAACTAGACAGATATCCTTTACAGGGCTTTAGAAAATTCAACCAATAACATGTCAAGATGTACACCTTGAGCATCATATCATTGACAACTCCAGCTCCAGTTTTCTACATCATAAATAAGATTTTCACTTGGGCTGGCAAACATGGGACTCTAAATTAGCTCCCTTTTACAAAAACTCCTGAAAGAGCTTGTGCTGTATCATAATTTCCCTTCTATTCAGTTTTACTTCTTCCCATTTTTTAATTTTAATATTAAAAAGAAAATTCCTTAGGGAAGTGAATAGAATCTAAAACTTGTGAATGTTCCAAACTTCATGTCTGGTTGCTATTTCTACAATGGCCTAAATTACAGTTCTGCTCTGCACCTCCAATCTTCGGGATCATTTAAATCTGTACTAAATAATAATCCAACAAATTCTGTCATCCGATATTCATAGCTCCTTTCAGGCCAAATTCTGCTCTTTGCTTCACCAGAATATTCCCATTTAAGTAATTTATGTTCCACCAGTTTAACTGAGAGTAGCTTTTGCCCCATTTACTTAAATGGGAGTTGCACATAACTAAATGCAGAATGTTGGCCTAAATTTTCTTTTCTTGAAGAAACTTTACCTTAGTACAGTGCTCCCTCTAACATTTTCTATCCTTGAGTGGGTTGAATTTTCTTTTGGGTGGATTACATTTTCTGATGTGCACCACCAATATTGAGGTAGTATGTTGATGTGCACCACCAATACAAACAAAATACACTCGCATATATACCGTATGTATGTATATTTTAAGCAGTCCATATGTGTGGAATAAAATATATTAAAACAAGACACCTGTGGCTAGTTGTTGTGAGGTACCCTTAGTGACTACACAAAGGTGCTGTGCAAAGGTACGGAATTAGTCTTCTTTCGCTGGAGGAAGAATAGAAGCCCCAGAACAAATTAACCCCTGGCTTCAAGGTTCATAGACATTTGCATGTTTCAAAGAGCTTGCAAATACTGTTTCATCCTTCAAAACAACTAGCATCACACTTGCTACTTCTGATTCATAATAGCAAGAACTCTATCAGAGAGCAAAGATCTGGCCTTCATGCAACACAATTTACCATGTATTAATTAGTAACACAGGATTTAAAAAAGAATCATTAAGTTAAAAGTTTAGATCTCCGCAACATTCCAAAAACTTCTGTTAAAGGAATTAAAAAACAACAAATAATCCTGTAGCACCTTAGGACTATTCACTATTTTAAATATTTTTTCAGCTACAGACTAACATGGCTACCCCTCTGAAACTGTTAAAATAATCCTTTCTTTCTTATATTAAGCCATTACACCTATATGCAAACTTTGTTTGAAATGTAATCATGCAAATATCCTCCTAGCTAGCACGCGCGCACACACACACCACGCTTTCCCCCTCAAAAAAACAGCCTAACAGAAAGAACTGCAGTGAGTCACACACCCCAAACAAACTGCCCCCTGCCTCCACCTCACTGCACAGATGCCAGCACTCAATCACTCTATCTTTTCCCCACCTACCTCCATGCAGTCAGCCCCTTACCTATGTCCTTCTCTGCCCAGGAGTATTGAAGAGACTGCTAGGTTTCTGCCTTTGCCCAGCTCATTCTCTCTCTTCCCACAGATGGGACTTTCCCACAAAACAATTAATTACTTGCTTCCTACTCCCAGTCACTCATTCCCTGCTTATCTCAGCTGTCTAATTGTCTTCCATTTCAAACGGGGAAGGGCCTGTCATGCCAATCAGCTGATCTCCCTGCCTGCATGGGGAGCTTTGAACATGTGTGCAGGGTTCAGAACATAGCTGAGCAGCTGCTCAGCCATGCAGCTTAGAGGGACCTTTGCCCTAATATCATAGCATTATATTTATGATTGTGGAACCAGTTGTCTTATTTCAGTGGCAACTGTCAGCATGTGGAAAAGGCTAAGTGTGGGTTAAATCCAGCTACATGAAACAATGTTCATGTTGTTACTGATCATTTTACAGCATCCAAAACTGTGTTATGGATTTTCCAGACCCATTACATCTGTGGATCACCTAGTCACAAAGAACATTATGTGTGATGATGTTGAACATCACTATGCATAACTTTTAGGCATCCAGAAACCACCATCATTCACAATGCCTGCCCTATACAGTGAATGGGAAGAGAGAAGCACTTCTGAATGGGTTTTTTAAAAACAGCATGCTAGACAGCCCTCACCTACATTAGCCCATGAAAGCTGCCAAGCCAAAGACTGTGTACTAAGTGATTGGAGCAGGGGACTGGATCTTGTGTTTCTCACCTGCCACAGGCATGTGCTAACCAGTAGGCTACTGAGCCAGTCTTGTGTTCGTTCTTGCTTTCTGGCCCAATTACCCTTTCATTATTTAGTCACAGTAAAATAGTTCTAACAGAAAAGATTAAATCCCCCCACATCTGAATAACCCATTGCACTCGCCTGAAAGGTGGCAGATTCCCTGTTAAATCCTTTCTCCCCCTTCAGGGACTGGGACCGGGGGAGAGTGTCTCCCCCACATTGCAATGAGTACCCTAACTACTGGGATAAAAGTTATGATTCAGGGGCACAAGGCCCCAGACAAGCCTGAGACAAGAGTAGTTTAGGGGTCCCCTCCCCTTTCCTTACCCCCAATATCACAGCTTGCAGCCTACCCTGCAGCCTCTCAACATCCTCCATTTCTCCCACAGTCCTCCTACATCCTCTATCCCCCACACTCTGCAGGCCTCCAAACATTCCCCACCCTCCTCATAACCCACCAACAGCTCTCCCCAGCCCCTCACCCACAGCTTCTGGAACCTTCCTAGCCACATTCCAGTGCGCCCCCAGCATAGCATTCTACTCCTTTCCCAAGCCAGGGAAGCTATTCCCAGTCCTGGCTCCTCAGCGTCTCTGCTATTGCCCACCCCACACTCATGTGGTACAGATCAATTTTGAGTGATGAGTGACATTGTGACTGGTTGCGTAGGTTTGCTGCAATGCTCAGATTTTGCCTGGCTGCCCTGCTGTGCTCCAGGTGTAATGCCCTAGTACCATTTCCTTTCAATGGGTCCCATGTCCTTATGGGCTCTCGCACAACTGCACCACTTGCCCTATTGTAGCATTGCCACTGGCTCGTGTGTAAGTTTTTCTATAGGGGCTGATCTGGTATGTTAGCTCTGAATCTGCTAAGTTTACCCAAGCAGACTTTGCAGGGGAGTAAAGAGATGAAAGTTTACCTTCTCCTATTAGGAAACTGTTCTGTGTTTAACCATCCTTGTGTGGGGCTGCATTGCACATGCACAGAGGTAGAAATATAGACACTGAGGCAACTTGAAGTGTTGAGTGAGTTTTGGCATCTACATGGTTTGGGGTAGGTAAGTGGATCACCAATGAGGGCTGATTCTGGAATTTACATGGAACTCCACCTGCTCACTCATATTTCACAGAATAAAACTAAAGGTGATGAGATATGAGATACTCCCTAAATCTGTGCTATTCCTGTTTTACCATTACTTCAATTATTTGTTTTAGATCACCACCTAGTGGTGTGCAGGCACCGTTGTTTTTAATCTGTTGAAGTTAAGCAAATGGTTCATGACCATCACTGTTAAATATTTGTGCAAAAGCTTCAGGAGATAGCCAAGTTTTGTCTGTACAGGATAAACTTTAAAAAAATAGACTGGTAGCACTTAAAAAACATTTGTGCCTAATTCCTAATTGAAATCTCTCAGGCTTTTGCTTCCAGCCATTGGTTCTTATTATAACTTTCTCTACTGTGTTAAAGGGTGCTTTAGTGCTTACTGTTTTGTTCCTGTGATGGTGCTTACACACTGTAATCAAATCACCTTTTGATCTTCTTTTTCATAAAATAAACAGATTGAGCTCCTTAAACCTGTCACTGTAATGAACTTTGTCCAGCTCTAATAGGACATATACCCCAGCAGTTGTTGTGGTATAAAGGAACTGGAAACACTTTACAAAAAAAGGCAGGATGGAAATAAACAATATTTATCTCCGTTACCCCTTTCCTTGTGGGTAGGTTATTCCATTTCTTGCTCTCTCTGCTAAAGCATCTGGTATTTACCACCATGGTATTTGCCACTATTGGACCATTAACTTGGTTAAGTATCATAGTTCCTCTGTTCCTGACACCATATACATTCGTGGTTCCAACATTGTATGAAAAATAACAATTGTACTTTTGTAATTCTATGTGATCTTCCACCCAAGGATCCTGCCAGGGCATTATTAGCTAAGCCTGATGGCACCAGTGAGAGATAAAAAGATATTATCTTCATTTTACAAGCTTCTCCAAAGTCACATGGAAAGTTCATGGCAGTGCTAGAACTAAAACACAACATAAATTACAAAAATACAAAAATATTTCCCTCGGTTTAAAAAATCTGGAAACCAAGCTGAACAATTAAAGAAATTAACTTTATTTATTAGCTATTTCATATAGTAAGTATAAAATAATGGAACTTCCTGAATTAAATCATGTTTAACTCATACAGAATTATATACAGTATAATATCTAAAGCTATATAGTGTCTGTTTTCATACTGTACACTCAGGAGGATAATAATGTCTCAGTCTGAAAATTAAACAGACTTCCCCCCTCATCTAAATAACAGGTTATGTTTCCATCTTATATTATAAAACATCTTGCTAAACATTGAAAGTGACATTTTCAAAGGCACCTAAGAGCCTGGGTCTGTTGGAAAGTTAATAGGACCTTTGCTCCTAATTTTTTAAAAATCCCATCCAGACGCAACATTCAGAGAACTGCATCAGTACAAATAACACAAAGAATAAACCTTGTTTCTGCATGTTGAGTCTCAACTGATTTAAACATTAAAAGATTCATTTTAGTAAACTTTACAATAATATGGAAAAGTCTGTCTAAAAATGTACAATATAATATGTGGGAGAATTAATGATATTGAATATTAAGTTCTATTAACTATATTCTTCTTTATTAAAATAGTTGTAGAACCTGTTAAGTACAACAGCTGCTGGTGTATTCATTCTTTCTCCCATTCATTTATTCAGTCATGCATTCAACTAATTATTCACTGATGTACTGTGTATAGATTATGTTTTGCAATTGACCTCAAAGAGTGAGGAAGCTGAATGCATACGATAGAAAATAGAAAAGGGCATTGCAAGGTTAACAACAATTATCCAAGGTTCAAAGCCAAAAACTATTTCTTCCAGTCCATTGTCGTATTCTGGGCGGCAACCAAATGCTGGTGGAATCCAAAGCTGCATGGGAAGTAAACAACATTGGTATCAGTTATCATCTTCATTATGTTATACTTGCCTAGTGTGCCTGTTGTATGACACTCATTTCTTCTATGCTGCAAATGAATCAATGTTATTTGGAATCAAAGATCACTGAGCCCAATTTTCTACTCACACAGGTTTCAGCAATTACTCCTGACTTATTCAAGAATCTGGCCCTCTGTCTTGCTTAAGCTAACAGATTTGGCCTGAGTTCCTATCTCATATAATACATTAAGAGGTGGCTTGTGATGAAAGACTGTGTTGCACTTACAATATAAAGAATGGGCAACGCCAACAGAATCAAACCTTGGACCTCTGCAGCTTAGTGCATGAGCCTCTACTGCATAGAGCAGACTCCTTAGTCTCTCTGCAAGTGGGCTTAGTGTCAGGGCCGGACTAAGGGGTGGGCGAGCCGGGCAGCTGCCCGGGGCGCCAACTGGTGGGAGGGTGCCTGACGGCAGCTGCAAGGGGCGCGCGGCATCCCTTATAGCTGCCATCAGGCGCTGAGCACCTGGATCCCACAGCGCAGGGGCCCCCCATCTCCACGGCGCTAGCCAAGCAGCACCCTTTCCTCCACGGCCGCGGGGCCCTGTACAGCCAGGTGCAGCCCACCCCGGGCTGCGCACCAGCAGCGGTGACCGGGCCAGGCTGGGCAGCACATGCACCATGTGCCCCATGGGCAGGCCCCAGGCTGCACGCCAGCGCCCGTGGCTGGGCAGCACATGCACCATGCACCATGCACCCAGAGGGGCAGGCCCATGCATGCGCCGTGCACCCAGGGGCAGCACTGTGTGCCCGGGCCTGGGGTGCCAAAATGGCTCGGGTTGGCTTAAAGTGCCACTAAATGGGATAGTACACCACACCCAAAAGGTGTGTCAGTTATATGTATATTGCTTAGTTCATATAGCAAGATTGCTGGAAAGCATTATTAGTTTCTAAGGTCAGATTTTAAAGGTGTTTAGGGGTTGTTCCATTCAACATTCACAGTCTAAGTGAGTGAGACAAGTGAATCCCATTCTTCCAGAGTGATTTAGGCATATAAGCCTAAGACTATGTCTACACATGTTTTGTCGGAAAAGACAATGCAAACGAAGCACTGATTAGCATTTGCTTGTGCTTCATTTGCATTATCTATTCCGATCCATTTTTGTGCAAGAGGTTTTTGCACAAAAACATGCAGTGTGGACGTGTCCGTTTTGTGCAAAAACCCCTTTTTGCGCAAGATCCTTATGCCTCTCCAAGAGGTCCACAGATCAGAAACTGGTTAAAAGATAGGAAATGAAGGGTAGGAATAAATGGTCATTTTTTAGTATGGAGAGAAGTAAATACTGGGATCTATACTGGGATCAGTACATCCTCATAAATGATCCGGGAAAGAGGTAAACAGTAAGGTGGCAAAATTTGCAGTTTATACAAAACTACTTGAGATAGTTAAATCCAAAGCAGAGTGCAAGAATTAGAAAGGAATCTGTGACGGGGTGTACACCTCACACCGTCCCTTAAGAGGTTAATAGAAGTGGGCTTTGCCCACAAAAGCTCATGATACCATCTACACGTTTTGTTAGTCTTTAAAGTGCTACAGGACTATTTGTTGTTTTTTAAGTTCACGCTATTGCTGTCACTGGTTACAGCTCATTAGCAGACACAAAAGAAAGACCAAGGGTGGAGACTGAATTACTCTTTTCCCCTCTCTAAGTAGTCCTCCAGATCATTTTGGGGGCACACTGACAGGGCACAATTTCAGAAATCACTGTCTGTGCCATATCTGTACTGTGGCTAAATACCTTCATCCATGTCTATTCCACTTCTAAGTAGATGATATTCCCCAGTATTTCAGTCAGTCCCTCTCCTTTCACAAGCACTAGAATTCACTTACTATAAATAGTAAAACTAAGTAACATTAATTTTCTCACTGTTGGTGACTTTAGGGAGCTTTTTGGAATTAATTTTATTAATTAGATTCAAAATACCTTACCGAAAGATTACACAGGAATAAAAATGCCGCGATGTTCTTCAGGAGTCTCCTCTTATTGTTAACTGTGTTTTGACTGTAGAGTGAGAAATCTGAGGTTGAGTGTGCAACTGGACTGCTAGCTTGGCTCCTGACTTCATCCACACCATCATCACCAATTCTGTCTCTCACACAAATATCCCCATTGAACATGTATGGTAACTTCCCATTGTCCAGATCAGCGGCGGTAAGTGACAGAGTGCTCCCATTGGATACAGTTAATATTCGAAGCGTCTTAATGTCGTCATTCACCTTTTCCTGTTCACGATGTATGGACTCAATGATAAAGAGGTTCTGAATATATTTCTCAATAATAACCAGGATGGAATAAGCCAGATTGTACCAAGTGTATTTTGGATGGTCCTGGGCACAGATAATTGCTAAAATAGAACCCCAAGAAAGGAGCCAGGAACCTGAAGCTGTGCCAACTAATAAGTCCGCATCAAGTTTCCTGGCAGGATTTTTTGAATTATCCATTGATCTTTCTTCTAGTCTGTAAATAAAAAGGGCAACGATTCCAGCTGCACACATAAGAGTTAGTACAGAGATTGCATATACATAAAACATAGTAAGTGCTAACTCACTTTGGATTTTCGAACCTCCTATCTGAATTAAGTACACAACAACGATCCCTATTGTGCTAATCAGCACAATTAATCCAAAAATTGTGCCCACTGTTATGCCGTGAAACTTGAACAGTGTTTTGTGTTGGTGGTGGTGTTCTACTTTGCGGCCGATATTCTTCCACAGGACATAGAGCATCGTGGAGGCTAAAATATGATATTCTATGTTGAAGGGATACAGGTAATATATTCCTTGTGAAAATATTGAACAGAGAGTTGTTGTACAATTACATTCAGGTGCATGGTCATCTAAAATTTAAAAAAAAAAAAAAAGGAGAAAAAGATTAGATTTTGCTGTACAATAATTTTTTCTTCTTTTAAATGAGACAATGCCACAATAGGAAGGATGATTTCAGTCTGACAGCTCATGTTATATATTTAGTCACCAAAAAAAATTAGTTGGGTGTTGGACACTGAAACCGCTAGTCAGAGAGCAGCTTTTGCATCCCCTACAAAACTTGGGCTATAGCCTTATTACAATTTCTAGGTAAAATCATTCTCAAAAGTGAACGTTAAAATACACAGACATCTCATAAAGTTCAGCTCGGTTTTGATTATAACAATGTATTTAAAATATTTACAATCCCAAACCAGTAGGGGCTTGATTCTGCAGATGAAGCACCTTCAAAACCAATAGGAGTTCCATATCTGGAGCAGATGCAGAACTGATTCCCAAGTAGGTAGGGGCCTCGTTCCTCTTTCAGTTAGGCTATGTCTATACTGCACATTTATTTTGGAATAAGCTATTCCAGAATAGTTATTCTGAAATAGCTTATTTCAAAATAGCACATCTACACTGCAGGAAAGCCTGAAAATTAGTCCAAGGCAGGCTTCCCTTATGCAGATGTGCTATTTTAGTTTAAAGCCCCAGGAGGCACTGGAGAGGAATAAATTAGAATGGCCCTGGTGAGGGGATACTTCGAAATAGCAGGAGTGGAGCATCTACACTGCCCCTATTTCAAAATAACTAACTATTTCAGAATAAGTGTTATTCTTCGTAAAACGAGGTTTACAAAAGTTGGAATAAGCCTCCCATTATTTCAAAATTATTTTGAAATAATGATATTGCTGTCTAGATACTCACATTGATATTTCATAATAATGCCCATTATTCCAAAATAACTTTGCTGTGTAGACACACCCTTACATACTTAACTGCCTTATTCCTAATTTACACTTGTGTACCTGACAGGATAGCTGGTCTTTATACACTTGTATTTGAATGTTACCAATATTTTAAATATCAATTCCCTTCCCAGTCATGTACCAAAGGGTATGTCTACACTTGCACCCTAGTTCGAACTAGGGATGCAAATGCAGGCATTCGAAATAGTCAATGAAGCAGGGATTTAAATATCCCGTGCTTCATTAGCATGATCTCGCCGGTGCATTACTCCGAATGCCAGATGTTTCTAAAGTGAAAGTGTGCGCCAGGACGCATTAGTTCGAACCAAACCCCTTGGTTCGAACTAACGTTACCCCTCAAAAAATGAGGAGTAACATTAATTCGAACTAATAGAAACATCTGGCATTCGGAGTAATGCACCGGCGAGATCATGCTAATGAAGCACGGGATATTTAAATCCCTGCTTCATTGACTATTTAGAATGCCTGCATTGCATTGCTAGTTCGAACTAGGGTGCAGGTGTAGACATACCCAAACTGAATTGAGGCTTCCATCAGCTGTTGTAGGAAATACACAGACTCAGTCTTGGAAGGACAGTAAAGAAGAAGCTATCACTTTTGTTTTACATTATTTTTATCTGTAATATATAAGACAATTTCAAACTGGTCACAACTGTACTGTCCTTAGACTTTCTCAAAGGGTCCATTACCAAAGGCTGTTAAACAAACCAGCCATGGAATAAGAGCTAAAAGTCCCCTTACAGATCAGTAACTTAAAAGATCAGAAACAATGGTTAGGAATAAATAATCAGTTTTCACAATGAAGAGAAGTAAATAGCGGCATCCTCCAAGCATCTATATTGGTACCTGTGCTGTTCAACATAAAAATGGCCATAATGGGTCAGACCATTGGTCCATCTTGCCCAGTGTGTTGTCTCTTGATAGTGGCTGATGCCAGATACTTTAAAGGGGATTGAACAAAACAGTCTACTTTATGGAGCAATCCACTTCCTGTTATCCAGTTCCAGTTTCTAGAAGTCAGGTGTTTAGGGACAACCAATGCATAGGAGTGCATCCCTGATCATTTTGGTTAATAGTCATTAGTGGATCTAATCTTCATAAATTTATATAATTTTTTTTAACCCAACGAGTAATCCTGGGGCACCTTAGAGACTAACAAATTATATAGTATCATGAGCTTTTGTGGGCAAAACCCACTTCTTCATATGAACTAGGAGCTGAATTGGGTTTTGCCCACAAAAGTTCTATGATACTACAGAGACTAACAAAAATATAAGGCTACTCGTTTTTAAGTTACAGAATAACATGGCTACCAGTCTCAGATTTTTTTTAACCAAGTTATACATTTGACTTTCACAATGTTCCTTGGCAATGAATTCCATTTGTTGAGTATGCATTTTGTGAAGAAGTACTTAGAATCATAGAATCATAGGACTGGAAGGGACCTCGAGAGGTCATCGAGTCCAGCCCCCTGCCCTCAAGGCAGGATCAAGCTCCGTCTACACCATCCCTGACAGATGTCTATCTAACCTGTTCTTAAATATCTCCAGAGAGGGAGATTCCACCACCTCCCTTGGCAATTTATTCCAATATTTGACCACCCTGACAGTTAGGAATTTTTTCCTAATGTCCAATCTAAACCTCCCCTGCTGCACTTTAAGCCCATTACTCCTTGTCCTGTCCTCAGAAACCAAGAGGAACAAATTTTCTCCTTCCTCCTTGTGACACCCTTTTAGATATTTGAAAGCCGCTATCATGTCCCCCCTTAATCTTCTTTTTTCCAAACTAAACAAGCCCAGTTCATGAAGCCTGGCTTCATAGGTCATGTTCTCTAAACCTTTAATCATTCTTGTCGCTCTTCTCTGTACTTCCTTAGGTTTGTTTTAAAACTGCTGCCTATTACTTTCTATGCTTCTTGTGTTTTGTGAAGGGATAAATAACACTTCCTTATTTTCTTTATACACACTATTCATGGTTTTATAGACCTCTAGCATATCCTCCCTTAGTCATCTTTTTAATCTTTCCTCATACGGAATCTGTTCCATTCCCCTAATGATTTTTGTTGTCCTCTGTACTCCTCCCCCAATTCTAATTCTCTTTGAGATGGGAGCAACCTGAAATGCGTGCAGTATGTCAAGTGGTGGAATACTATGGATTTATATAGTGGCAGTATGTTCTTTTCTATCATCTATTCCTTTCCTTATGGTTCATAACATTCTGTTAGCTTTTTTGACTGTTGTTGTACATTGACCAGATATTTTCAGATAACTATTTACAGCGATACCAAGATCTCTTTTTTGAATAATAGCAACTGGTTTGGACCCTATCATTTTGTATGTATAGTTGGGATTACATTTTCTATCTATATTACTTTGCATTTATCAATATTGAATATCCTCAACCATTTTGTTGCCCATTACCCAGATTTGTGAGATACATTTGTAACTCTTCAGTCTGATTTGGACCAAACAATCTTGGGTAATTTAGTGTCATCTGCAAACTTTGCCAGCTCAATGTTTACCCCATTTTCCAGAACATTTATGAATCTGTTGAACAGCACTGGTTCCATTACAGATCCCTGGGGGACCCACTATGTATCTCTCTCCATTCTGAAGTTTGACCATTTATTTCTATTCTTTGTTTCCTATCTTAACCAGTTACTGTTCCATGAGAGGAGTTTCCCCCCTTATTCCATGATTGCCTACCTTGCTTACGAGCAGGGGTTGGCAATCATTTTTGACTGGGGGCCACTTCAGAAATTTTTGAAGTAGCCCCAGGCCACCCCAGAAGGGGTGGGGCCTCAGTTGGAAGGGGTGAGGCCGGAATATTTCCATGATTCCCCACCCACAGACTCTGATTGGTCTGGGGGTGGGGGAGTGTGCAAAGTCTTTTCTCCCCCTCAGAGAGAACCTCCAGCTGTTCAGAACATCTGGTGGTTCCATCTAAGTACCTGTGCCCCTGGTGATGGGAGGAGACTTTGGTGCTCCCCCCTGTTGCCCCCAGGTCAATCAGGGCTTGGGGAGGAGGAATACATGAAATCTCTTGCTCCAGCCCCTGCCCTGCAAGGGAGCACCACACTTAGAGTCAACCACCAGCTGTGCAGCATCTGGTGGTTGACTTTTAAGTGCTGAGCCCCTTGCAGGATGGGAGGAGACTTCATGTGCTCCCCTCCCTAAGTCTTGATTGGCCTGGAGGTAGGGGGAGCACGTAAAGTCTCCTCCCACCCTGCCAGGAGCATGCAGTGCTTCTAAGCACCACACACTCCCTACAGGGTGGAGGCAGGGCAGGAGGAGACTTTGCATGCTTCCCCCCACCCTCAGTCCCTGATTGGCCAGAGGACAGGGGGAGCAGCAGAGCTTCCGTGGGCAGGATCAACTCACTTGGTGGGCCAGATTTGGCCCATGGAAGCCTTTTTGCCCACCCCTGCTTAAGAGGTTTTGGTGTGGGACCTTGTCAAAGGCTTTCTGAAAGTCTAAATACATTATATCCACTGGATCATCCTTGTTCACATATCTGTGATCCCATTAAAGCAGCACATGGCCGACGGCTACCGGAGCTGAAGCCACCTGTTCGTTGGGGCCCCTTGGTAAACTGGTAACATTATATTTGCATATTCATTATTTGCATAATGAATACACAAATAAAATGTAACCAGTCCACAAAAAGTTTGTGAATGGGTTTGCTGATCTATAGTATAAAAGGTTGGGAGCCACTACTTTAGCACCTCAATTGTCCAGTGGCCTTGCTAATTATTTGACATGCTTTCTGCTTCTGATGTGCTTAAAAAGCATTTATTAGTATTTGTCCTTTTCTAGCTGATCTTCAAAGCCTTTTTGAGCCTACTTTATTATAATTTTACATCTGGCTTGCCAGGATTTATGGTTCTTTCAATTTTCCTCAGAATTTGTCCTACAATTTTTTTAAAAAGTCTTTCTGCTTCTAACCACATCTTTTACTCTGTTTAGTTGTGTTGGCAATATTTTTTTTTAGACCTCTTACTTTTTAAATTTGGGATATGCATTTAGTTGGAGCCTCTATTGTGGGCTTTTTAAAAGTTTCCATGCAGCTTGCAGGCATTTCACTCTTTATGACTCTTTTTAATTTGCATTTAACTAGTGATTCCCCCTTTTGAAGTTAAATGCTACTGTGATGGGCTTATTTGGTATTTTCCCCCCTACAAGGATGGTGTCTTTTATGAATATATGAAAGCTTTGTTAAAAAAACCAAAAAGGTGAATAGTGGTGTGACACGATTTGCCAAGGATACAAAATTATTCCAGGTAGCTTAGTCCATAACTATCTATTACAAAATTACACAAAGGGATTTCTTAAACTGAGTAACTGAGCAAAGAAATGGTAGATAAAATTCAATATTGATGAATGTATTACTTTGCATTTTCCTTGAACTCTATTGAGAGTAATGAAAAATTACAAACTATTTTCAGATAATCTGCAATAGACAGAGGCAAAGGGTGGATGGTTGTGGCTTTAGTATTGAAAAAACAAAACAAGGTTTTAATATTCATGGTGAATGGATTCACTCGGAGGGAAAAAAATTACACCAAAACTGCAAATATATTCACTCCTTACATATCTCTGGCTCTCCCCACACACACACTTACAGTGAAAATTAACATGATCCCAAACAATCCTTCAGAACAATTTTGAGGCAGAAGTACTCTCACCTGCAGAGTGCTGTTATCTCTCATTTAAGCTACTGACTACCCTCAACTTCCCTTGATTTCATTGGGAGTTGAAGGTGCTCAGCACCTCAGAGGATCATATCCATAATTTGTCAAAAATCTGTGATTTGTTATCAGTGGAGAAAATTGTCCAGTATGAGAAGAGACTTTTACAATCAGAAGACAAACCAGCACTGACAAACAGAATCTTGACTTCAGTAGTGCAAATTGGGAGAAGGGAGCAGATATGGAGAGGAAGAACCAATGCTGCTCTTCTGCCTCCTCCTCCCCCCCCCCCTTAAGTTCCATAGGTTGTGGTCTGGGAGGCAGTCTGACCACTTTTGAACAGTGATTCAGTACTAAAACCAGTACAGCTCTGCCAGAGTGGTATGGAGCATTGCTTTGGCTGTGTGGTTGCAATGCCACTGAAATTTGACTTGTGCCCCCTCCTCAGCACTGTACAGGAACAGACTTCCTGTGTTATGTGTAAGGATGTCTACTGAGAACTTGTCTCCTGGTGCCACTGGCTCATATACCGTGTGGAGAGACTCCCCAGCCAAGGGTCCTGGCATCAGAACAAGATGGGGGTAGGAACTGCAGGCCAGTATGTGGGTGGTGGGAGTGCAAAGGTTACAAATACACCCCTCCTCCATGGTCCCCAGAGGCGGGGTTGGGCCTCGCTCCTGGTGTGTGTGTGGGTAATCAGCCCCAGCCTTCCCCCAGCTGGCTGGAGCATAGGAGAGGGATGCTAGGGCAGCATGCCGCTCCCTGCCTTCCCCCTGCCAGCTGGAGAACACTTACTTGGGGGACTATGGAGGGGTGCCTTTGCACTCTTCCGTCCACATTTACAAAAAAGCACACACACACACACACACCCTAGAAATTCCTGCGTATGGGCCTGAATTGCTTCCTCTCCTTAACAGACCTCTGCATTGGTACGACTGGAGTAGTTCTATTGAATTCAGAGGGACTCTTCAGCTGACAGGCTTTGCAAGATTGAACCCATGCCAGAAGAGCTGCTTATCACTAATAACATGGTAACAATTACTATCTCTTTTTAACTAAATCCTTTGTTCAGTTACCTTCTGTGCTTTCTTACTGGATAGATGCTTTGGAGATTATATATATATATATATAAAGTTACAACATCCTTTTTTTTTTTAAGAGCATGTGGTCATTATTATTATTCTGGCCCTAATTCAGTAAGGTGACTGAGCACCAGCAGCTCCCACTGAAGTAAATGAGAGTTGCAGGTGATGAGGGCCATTATGTATGGTATGATGCTTAGGATATCATATTTAGAATAACCATGCATTATAGAAGATCTACCAAAAATGTATCAACCCTCTGGCTTACCTATTGTTATGTTTCCAAAACCAAGTGTGATTAGTCTTTCCTTGTGTTCGTTGAGTTGGTGTTTTGATTCTGTTAATACTCCATTTGTCCACAGGAGTAAATTTGTAAACACAGAATGGATCACCCCAAACCTAAAAGAAAGATTAGTTATTGATACCATCTGTACAAAGGATTTCACCCTATTTGTTTTAAATGCAATGCATCTCTTTTAAATTTGTTTTAAATGCAATGCATCTAAGCCCTTGGACTTTGGCTTCCCTTCCTTCTCCCACTCAGGGTGGTGAGACTGGCTTTGGCTTTGTCCTTTCCACCTGGGGTAGCAGGATTCAAGCAGGTGAAGACTTTGGTGTCCCCTCCTGGGTCATTTAGTAATTTTCATTGTCAGAAGGGCATTGTGGTGCAATGAAATTTGAGACCCCCCCTCCACCCTTGCTCTAGATCTCTGTGAAAATATCAAACTATATAGCATCTATGAAAATACTTCCTAAAACTATGGTTGAACAGGTGGGCAGCATTCTAGCAGGGACAAAATTAAACAGTGACTGAAAAAATAATAAAATTACAACTAGCACCATTGAGAGAGGGGAAGAAATTAGTATGATTTACAGTGCATTACTGGCTAGTGATAACAAATGTCAAAAGCACCTTAGAAACCTAGGACCTATTGACTTTCAGTAGGATTTAAGATCCTAATTCACATAGGTACATTTGAAAATTTCATCCTGAACTTCATGTGACATCATTGATTTGAGTGGACCCACAACGCCTAAATGTCAGATCTCAGGCATTCTTTTTATTGCTAAACCTACAATCATTGCCCATGGCATTGTACAATGATGAAGTGCCACAGATGTAAGCCAACAGGTTTATCTAGTGATACCTGACAAATGTCATAATGCTCATCTTGAAACATCACTGCTAAACTGCAAGAACTGGCTACATAGTGATAGAAAACAACCCAGACACCTTGCTTCTAGGTTCTGTCCTCTTCAGGTTTGTGTATAAATCCCACAAACACCAATGAGAATTATGTTAAAAAATAGAAAAAAGAAAATAAGCCAAGTCCTATATTTACTAAGTCTTTCTGATATATAGAATAGAGGCAGGTGTGGTCCAGTGACCCAAATTCAGCAGTCAGTGCCAGGAAGTCATAAATCCTCATCTTGCAAGCAGTGATGACCCCCCCGTGGCTCTCAACAAGTCTCTTTTACCATGTTCCGCATATTACTCAGCTACCTCACAATGACTGTGATGAGTGAATAGAAAGAGTGAGACAATATGAAGTAACCCAGTGCATTGTCTTATGTAAAGGAGGCAGGGTAGTCCAATGAATACAGAAATGACCAGGGAGCCAGGGAAACTGGTTTCTAGTCCTGGCTCTGCTACACGATGTTATACAAGTCACTTTCATTCTCTTTGGTCTCCCATCTTTGTTTGGTCTCCCATCTTTGTTTGATCAATTTAAATTGTAAATTCTTTGAGCCATGGATTTTCTTTCACTGTGTTTTTATACAGAGCCAATGAGGTCTGATTTTGACTGGGGCCTCTAGGTGTTATTGTTATATAAATAATAAATATCTGACCAGGCTTGGCTTTCATTTTTAGACAAGATCCTGAGTCAAGTCCTGAACTAAAAAGTCATGTTATGGTTTTTCAGAATCTCAAGTGTGAAAATCCACACACATTAGTTGGATTTGGGGCCAGTTCATACAACTATGGGAATGCTCTTGAAAACAGTTGTGAGGTACTAGTTCTTCACTTCCATTATTGGCTTCACCGCAGAAGCACAATAGAGCCTTTGTTATATGCTGTGCAGTGACTCTCATACAGTGTGACATTAAAACATATTGTTCTATTTAATCATATAAAATACTATTATTTTAGTTTATTTTCAGAAGTCTTGCAGTATGTACAAGTGAAATAAGCAATCCACTTATAAATCAATCTTGTAGTGTGTTAGTTTTGAATCTGGGACTTTGTGCAAAGGTGAGATAAAGAAATTATCAGAGAATGCAAACAGATTTGAAACTTAATGCAGCAGAAAGAAGTCTGTGGTGAGCAGTGGGAATACTATTTTGTTCCCTACTACAGTATTCTACAATAATGGGTCAAAACATCCATAGTTTTCAATTTACTGTTATGTTTTGACCCATTATCCCACTACATATTCCAAGTATATTTGTCTTTACTCTAATTTTCAGATGAGTTCATGTTATTCTGGGATTAAGGATTTAAGGTCTCTTAAGGTGTTTAACTACACTACTCCCACTTATTTGAGTTGGAATTGTGTGAACAATCCCCTCTGCAGCTTTGACCATTTCTACCAGGAAATCTGGCTCAGCAGATGGAAATGGAGTAGAATCTGGAGAAGGCAGGGGAATCCCTGTAAGGAAGGGTGACTATAATGGGTATGAGGAAGAAGTGCAGAATGCTTTGAAGTACCTGTTCAGGGAAGTGGAAAATAGAGCCTATTAACATAAACCAACTCCTGTTTAGATTAGCAAATCCTTGTCATAAATGTGCACTTTCATATAAAACCATCCAGGAAGTTACTATAATATGACTATTTCTGAAGACTGACATATGCTATTCTTATCAATAACGCCATCATATAAATATAAACAATGCCATTGTATAAGACCCACTTCCTCAGATCAAATAGTGGAAGAAAATAGTTACAACCATATATACAAAAGGATACAATTTTTAAAAAATGAACACATATGAAAAGGACAAATCAAATTTCAGAACAGAAGGAGAATGCGGGGGGGTGGGTAAGTGTCTATGGGCTAATGATATTAGAGGTGATAATTGGGGAAGCTGTCTTTGTAATGGGTAAGATAACTAGAGTGTTTGTTGAGACCCACTTGTAAAGTGTCGAATTTTAGCATGAATGACAGTTCAGAGGATTCCCTTTTAAGTGCAGATTTAAAAGGTCTTTGGAGCAGGATGCAGGTAGTTAAGTTGTTGAGACAATGTCCTTTCTGGTTGAAATGGCAAGAAACTGTTTTTTCTTTGTGATCCTGTCTAATATCTGTTTTGTGGGCATTAATCCTTTGGTGAAGTGTCTGAGACGTTTGTCCAATGTACATAGCAGACGGACACTTTTGGCACATGATAGCATAAATTATATTTCTGGATGCGCAAGAATATGTATTCTTGATCTTATAACTCACTTGGTTAGGTCCAATAATGGTATCAGCAGAGTGAATATGTGGACAAAGCTGGCAATGGGTTGTTCATTTTTTAAATTGTATCCTTTGGTATATATGGGTATGTCTACACTACCCTCCTAATTCGAACTAGGAGGGTAATGTAGGCATACCGCACTTGCTAATGAAACCCGGGATTTGAATTTCCCGGGCTTCATTTGCAAGTGCGGTATGCCTACATTACCCCGCTAGTTCGAACTAGCGGGGTAATGTAGGCATACCGCACTTGCTAATGAAACCCGGGATTTGAATTTCCCGGGCTTCATTTGCAAGTGCGGTATGCCTACATTACCCCGCTAGTTCGAACTAGCGGGGTAATGTAGGCATACCGCACTTGCTAATGAAACCCGGGATTTGAATTTCCCGGGCTTCATTTGCAAGTGCGGTATGCCTACATTACCCCGCTAGTTCGAACTAGCGGGGTAGTGTAGACATACCCTATGGTTGTAACTATTTTCTTCCACTATTTGATCTGAGGAAGTGGGTCTGGCCCACGAAAGCTCATCATCTAATAAACCATCTTGTTAGTCTTTAAAGTGCTACATAGTCCTGTATTTTGCTTCAGCTACACCAGACTAACACGGCTACATTTCTATTACTATGCTGTAGCAGTCGTGTCACATGATATAATTAGTTGAAATATGCATATTCTTTGACTATTTTTGTTAAAGTATAAACACTGTTTAAATGGAAAATATTAATTTAAAAACTATTCCCCCTCTCACTTACTCTAGTAAATGAAATTGCACACAATTTACACAAATATGAGTAAAGGGAGAATCAGACTCAGAGTTTTCACTTTTTTATATGATAATACAATGCATTTTAAAACAAACTAGAAGTAATATTCAGGAGCTAAATCATATTCATTTTACCTTTCAAGTGTTTTGAAAGACTGGATAATATCCTTGGCATGACACCAAAGAAAATACACCTAAACAGAAATACAGATAAAAATACAATCAGTTCATTTGGGTAAATGTCACTACATTTGTGAGTAACGATGAAGGTGGATATACATGAAAATACTGATGGCCAGATTCTCTGCTGATTTTAAATTGGTGCAGAACAATTGCCTTCCAAGCTCAGTTGATCTGAAATAATCTCTGGCCTCCTGTGCCATTCACCCAGAACTTGCCTGCCACTCAGAAACCTGAGCAATTGTCTACACTACCTGCCAGAACAATGGGCAGTGATCGGTCCAGCGGGAATTGATGCATCATGTCTAGTATAGATGCAATAAATCAACTGCTGAGGACTCTGTCGACACTGGCATGCCATCAGAATGAGAACTGCAGATGTGAAGAGGAGCGCATACACTGTTGACTTACCTCAGTGAAGACACGGAGGGAAGTAGACCTAAGTACATTGACTTCAGCTATGTTATTCATGTAGCTAAAGCTGCATAACTTAGATCAATGGACCCCAGTAATCTTAAACCAAACCTAACATTGTAATAGAAAGTTCATTAGGATATGTCTCATCCCATACTTGAAGTTTCTGTAGCTAAAGAAACTTATTTTTCATGTAGTGGTGGAAAATATAAAGGAAATTGCAAGACTGACAGGACAGAAATATAAAGTCCTTTGTGAACAGGACAGATATTTTAACAGCAACAGTAGCTGTGCTGCCATGAGAAGAGCCTTTTGATGGGTGAGAGGTTCATACTGGTTCCCAACCTGTACAGCAGTTTGTTTCTTGGCTGAGGCTGCCAATAAAGTTTCCAGGTAATTAAGTGTTTTTATCTTGCAGACGACTGCCTATTAGTAACCATTATTATTAATTTAAAAGAAGGACAGTGCATTTACACTTGGCTTTACAGCATATTTAAAGGAGAAGAATCCCCTGCCCCAAGGAACTATAAGTTTAAAACAGACAACAGTAAGACACAGGAGACAAGTTACAAGATGATAGTTCAGGTGACAGATCATTGGTGAGGGGAACAAGGTAGGAAGAATTCCTGGTGAGATTTTAATTGTGCAGTGAAGGAGAGCATAGTGAAGGTTCCATGGGGACAAGAAATGGGAGACTGCTCCATGAGTAAGGTTACTGCATGAGCAAAAGCATAAAGACAAAAGTAGGCATTGGAAAGAAGGAAGAAGAAAAGGAGAATGAGAGGAATGTATGGAGTGAAAGTAAGAAGTGAAATCAGACATGTAGGCAGCAGTGAGATTTATGTAGGGCCTGATGAGGCTGAGAATGTTGAGAATGATGAGGAAAGAGACAGACCAATGAAGGAATTCAAGATGAAGGGGATGCTGTGAATAGCCTGCAGGGAGGAGACGTGACATATAGAAAGCAGAAGAGAAGGCTGGTAGTTATCAGAGAAACAACCACAGCAGGTAAAAGGTTGAAGGAGCCAAAAGTGCAGAAAGGCCAGTTTTGGGGGAAATGAAAGAGGCAGAGCACATCACTGAAGACTGGGTAGGAAAGGTGGAATAGAAAGAAAGAAAGAAAGAAAGAAAGAAAGAAAGAAAGAAAGAAAGAAAGAAAGAAAGAAAGAAAGAAAGAAAGTGATGATACTGAGGTTATAATCAAGTGTGAAAGTAACTTAAATTTCTTACAGGGCAGGGGGCTGACAGGTGTGGGGACTCAGGGTAGGCAGGTGGGGAAGACTTAGGGCTGGGGCAGTCCCAGCCAGTTAGCCTGTCCCACACTGCTCCTGTTCCTGGACAAATGGGAGCTGCAGGGCCAGTGCCTGCATGCACAGCACCATGTAAAGACACTCTGTTGCTCCCCCACTCCAGAGGCTGCATGTTGCAGGTGCTGCACAGTTTCCAGCCAGCACAGGGCCAGCAGGACAGTCTGAGAGCCCCACATAACCAAGAGGGAGCATGGCTGGGAATGCACACTCCGCCACCTGCAGCATCCCCCGCCAGCCATTTTCTTACTAGTATGGAATACCTGGGTACATTGGCCTACTTTCACCTTTGGTTGTGGAAGGACAATAGAGTGAGACTTCAGGATTGAGTTCCCTATTGATTCAGTCTAGTGGAATGAATGAGGAATGCAAGGTGATAGTGGAATGACACACCATATTCCGCAGGGATGATGGCATGGAATCTGGAGAAATCAGATTCCCAGAATACTATAAGGTGGGTGCATAACTGGCTAGATAACCATTCTTAGGGTATGTCTACACTACCACCCTAGTTCGAACTAGGGTGGTTAATGTAGGCAACCGGAGTTGCAAATGAAGCCCGGGATTTGAATTTCCCGGGCTTCATTTGTATATTGCCGGGCGCCGCCATTTTTAAATGTCCGCTAGTTCGGACTCCGTGCCCGCAGCTACACGCGGCATGAACTAGGTAGTTCGGATTAGGCTTCCTATTCTGAACTACCGGTACACCTCGTTCCACCGGTACACCTCATTCCACCTGAAAGTAGGAATAAGAGATCCTCCGGAAAAGGGCTTTATTCCGGAGGATCGCGCCAGTCTAGACGCTTTTTTCCGGCTTTTCCCCAAGCCGGAAAAAAAGCAGCGGACATGTTTATTTAAATCCCGTGGGGGATATTTAAATCCCCCGCGGATTTCCCTATTCCAAAGTTGGAAATTAGCATGGCTATTTCGTAATAGGGGCCAGTCTAGACGTAGCCATAAAGTTTGCAGATGATACCAAGCTAGAAGGGTTTGCAAGTGTTTGGAGGATAGGGTCATAATTCAAAATTATCTGATAAATAGGATGAAGTTGAATAAGGACAAATGCAAAGTACTCCACTTAGGGAGAACAATCAGTTTCAAACATTCAAAATAGGAAGTGATTGTCTAAGTAGGAGCACTGCAGAAAGGGATCTAGGATCTTTTTTTTTTTTTGCTTGACAAATTTTGCCCGGCAGTTTTTTTCCCCGCCCCAAAGTGGTTGCCTGGGGCCGCCAATTGGTTTGGACCAGCCATGGACATCTGTCAGGGATGATCTAGATCAGTGGTTCTCAAAGTGTGGTCTGTAGACCACTAGTGGGCTGCGGGCCCATGGCTCGCTTCCCCCTCCTGCATCAGGGAACCTGTACAGGTGCTCCAGTCCCCCCTCCTCTGCTGTGAGGTTGGAGCACCAGCACTTGCTTCCCATTGCAAGGGGTAGGGGGAGCCTCTTAGGTTGGATCTGGCTTGTGGGGGAAGGTAGTGTCTCCCCCAGATGAGGTAGGGGGCAGCAGCACAGGAAACAGCTTGCTTGCAACAAAGGGATGCAAATCAAGCACATTGAAATCCCTAATAAAGCAGGGATTTAAATATCCTGTGCCTCGTTAGCATAAACATGGCTGCCGCTTTTTTTTTTAATGAAGTTTATTCGAAAAAAATGGTAGTCTGGATGCGGATCTGTTGGAAATAAACCCTTTTTTGACAGATCCTGTATTCCTCAAAAAATGAGGTTTACAGGATTTGTTGAAAAAGGCTTTATTTTCTACAGATATTTAAATCCCTGCTTCATTAGAAATTTCGATGGGCCTAATCTACATCTCCCTGTCGACAGAGAGGTGTAGTCTAGACAGACCTTGGGAGTAGTGGGAGGCATAGAGTCAAATAAATGTTCCCTATTCCCTCCTGCCAAGACTCCCCACCTCTCAGCCCACTCCTGCACCTATCCTCCCAGCCAGACCCCCCATCCCTACTCCCTCCTGCACCCATTTTGTCATCATGAGTGGTGGGACACAGAAAGATCTGCATTGAGAAGGGTGGTCTACGGACCAAAAAGTTAGAGAACCACTGATCTAGATGGTGCTTGGTCCTGCCGTGAGGAGAGGTCATCAAGTCCAGTCCCCTGCCAAGATACCTTCTAGCTCTAGTCAATCTTCAGTAATCACAGAACACAGAGTAAATGCTTGAAAAGGGGGCAGGCATAGAATGATAGAGTTTAAGCCCGAAGGGAACACCAGATCATCTAGTCTGAACATCTGCATATCACAATCAAAGTTAGACCTCAGTATTCCAGGCCAAAGGAGTCTAGACTATTATTTGCCACAGGCAGAAAACAGGAGAGACTGAGATGCACCTGTATCAGAGACCCCAGCAATGGCAGGGAAATTATTAAGTGAGATATACCCAGATGGTTTTGGCAAGTGACTAGCATCTACATGCTGCAGAGGCAGGCAAAATACCCCCAATGTCACTGCCAATCTGACATCACAGAAAATTCCTTCCCAGACCCACAGATGGCTGGTGATCATATGTAGGGAGAAACCCTGACTTGGTGAGCTCTCTGAACTGGTGCCAATTAGCCAAGTACTTGAGCAAGGGAACGCTCAGTGCTACCTCACAACTCTGGCCCACTGCACCCAATGTCCCATCTCCAGCTATGGCAAGCAAGGAGACAAACAACATCAAAACAATTCAGAATAATTTAGATGGCTGGGATGGGGGTGAGATGAATTCCTTTCTGATCCCTGCAGATGGCTGGCTGAAACCCCGAAGCAGGAGATTTTAGGAACATCAGACTTAAACTGCGTGTGAACCTTAGGCTTGCCCATGCCATCACAAGCAACCCCATCATGCAATCACTCAAATTTGTCCGTCCCTCTCTTAAATCTAATTAAGTTCCCCCCCACACACACACACACCCAAATCGTATTGGGAGGCTGTTCCAGAATTTCATCCCTCCGCTGAGTAGAAAGTTGCTTTTGATTCCCAGTCTGAATTTATTCATAGCCAGTACATAATCATTTGTTCTTGCACCAATATTGTCATTTAATATAAATAGCTCTTTACCCATCCACCTCTTTACCCACTAATGCATTCATAGAAAGCTATCATATCCCCTCTCAGGCGTCTTTCTGCAAGGCTAAAAATGCCAGCCTCTTCCAATCTCCTCTCATAAGATAGGTCCTCCATTTCCCTGGTCATCATTAGATAAGGAAAATGGGCATACTGCATCAGACCAATCATCCATCTAGACCAGTCTCTTGTCTCTCAACAGTGGCTGTAGCCAGAAGATGCTTCAGAGAGTGTGAACAGAACACAGCAATTCATAGCTGTGCTTTTTTACACTTGTTCCAGTTTGTATTAATCTTTCTTGAAGATGAGTGACACTTAGTGGACACTTCTGAAAATGTGGGCCTAAGTTTATACAGCATTTCATTGATGAAACTGAGAGATCTGATCTCCAGCATGCTAACCAAAATACCACATTCCCTCCACATTTGCCTATCTGTTCAGTGAAACATTTGCCAAATGTAAAATGGACCTATACTAAAACACTGGATCAAAAGGCTTCCTAATTTTATGAACGTTTTTAATCAAATCCAAATTGTCTAGCACAGTTCTTACACAGCACCTATTGTCATGTTATCTAAGCACCTTCTGGAGGTGCATTAAGTGATCTTATAAGCATGAGTCATTTGTGGGTTTTTTATTTTTCCCTTTCTCAGTACAACTCTGCATTAAAGATGGGAGAGCTCAGGTTGGAATTCTGCTTCAGAGCTGGCTGTACAAGGGAATTGAAGTTAGTTAGGCCTCCCCCAATACGCATCTGACCCTCATGCTTGTGCATAATCTGGTTCACTGTCTGGGATGAAGAAACTATGAGGATCTTGATTCAGGTAGTCAACGTTGTGGAGGCTATTGTGAAATTTCATCAGCCTCTCCTTTTTGCCCTACTACGTAACAAGGGGTTGTCTGTAAGCTTAAAATAATAGAAAAGAAACACTTCTTCAGGCAACATATAATCGAGTGTGGAATTCATTGCCACATGATAACATGGAGACAAATGGTTGGACTTAAAATACAACTGGATAATTGCACATTCCTCATTGGCTATGTTTGCTGTCATGCATGCAGTGACGTGCGTGATCAATAACATGCTTCAGGGTGAAAACCCATAATTAGCTTGTTTCAGGAAGGAATTTCCCCCTGGTGAATAAGCATTGCACAAGTACATTTTGTAGGGGTTTTGCTTTCCTTGAAGAATCAAATATTCATTACTGCGAGCCGCAGGACACCAGACTAGATGGATCAATGGACTGAACTGGTATGGCTAGTCCCAGTGCAGAAGCAACAGTGAAATGTATTTGTCTCCTTTTATATAAAGAGATATGACAACTATGTACCTATCTTGAACTACAAAAAGATATGTTGCTCCAAATTTAGGACCAAAATTTTAGGACACTTTTTTATCTATGAAATATTTATACATATATCTCTGTATGAGGAGCCATTATATTTTTAAATACAAACAGGCAGTTTTGGATATAAATTGGGTAACTTCTTGCTCTGCTGCCTGATCTGCATGCTCAAATCCCAGTTTGCATTCAGAAAGGGGTCTGCACACACAAAAAGTTTAAGCTTTAATAAGTTATCCTTTAACATTTTTAGAAACTAAATTAGCAGAAACAGAGTAAAAGGAACATGCACAAAAAAGTATGCTTGGTGAGAAAAACAGATATAAATTAAACTGGTTGCTTTTACCTGAAAAAGCGTATGCATTGCATGTGTAACAGGAAAAATGCCTTCAGTTGCTGATAAACAGTTTGAGAATCCAATAAAGAATCCAATTTTAAAAGAGTCCAGAATTAAAGTAATCACTGCAAATAATGTAATCCCACCTAAAACAAAAAAGAGATTAGAAAATGTTAATATGTGGTTTACCTGTCTTCAGAGAATCTGTACTAAAAAATGAAAATTCATGTTTTGAAAAAGCTATGCCTACTAACCAGTAAACAAAGTAAATGGTCATAAGATCAGTTTACTCCATGCAATAAAGCTCTGTAATTCATGAAAGCTTTTTCACATTCTAGGACTTAAATATAACCAGAATACACGAATACCTCACACAGTTTTTAGGGACCGATCTTACAATTCCCAGGGAGCTAAAGGCTTTCAGCATCTTATAGGAAGTACTCAGCACCTTGCTTGAACAGAGCCTCAAGTAACTGTAGCACAGAGTCTGTTATACAGTGAAATGAATTAATGCCCTATATAGCTGAACCACAAACTATACTGCTTGCAGAGGTGAACAATACTGTTACAGTCTCCTGACCCAAGAGTCCTACACTGTGCAGTAATACAATCACTTGGTATGCCATCTCAATTGTTCAGAAGGTTATTCTGAACCACTATAAGTCAGAGACCAAAAACTTTAAGCATTTTTTTCAAATGAACTCAAGAGATTTCAGAATTCATCCTGAGAGACATTACTTTAACATGTATTTATTTGTGTTTGTCTAATGTTTATATAACGTTTTATAGAGGGTTTTTTTTAATGTTCCCCTGTACATTTTTCTGGTATAATTCCAATGTCTTTCACTTCAAAGATCTAAGTGAGAACTCATTTTGGAAATCTATATGATAAGATACAGCTATGTTGTTACTGAACCATATTGTATCAACATAATTAACACGACACAAAGGAAGATAAAATTACTATGCCAGACTGAAGCCGTTCTTCAATATTTCTTCCTGAATCCTTGCGTAGACAAACTCCCATTAATTTTAAACTTACGTTAATCTGAATAAAGTCCAGGTAAAAATTGTCTAAGTACCCGCTGAATTTAGATCACTGGGTCTTTGATCCTGCTTCTTATTATAATATAGAGATGGCAGATGATATCACAAGAGCTGACTTTGTTCAGTATTTATTTTATATTTAACGGACCAAATCTTGTTCACCTTATGAACATGAAATGTCCCATTGAAATTATTGTTTGAGGGCAATATGTATTTTGTTCTCTAAAATTAAAGTTAACAAGTGAACCAAGGAGACTCTTCATTCTTATAATAACACTTCAAAAATACCCTACTACAGATAAGCTATTTATTTAAATGAAAATTGTAATAGTGTAAGTGTTTCTGTTTGGGAATTATTCATATTTATAGTGTACTTCCCTGGTTATATTACAAATGAACAAGAAGTTCCAACGTGGGTGAGGTAGTACCTTTTATTGGACTAGCAGTTGGCCCAATAAAAGACATTACCTTACTCACCTTGTCTCTACTATGCTGGGACTGACACAGCTACAACACTGCAATACAAGAAGATTCAAATCAGGTACAGAGGAGAAAATATATATATATATATATATATTCACACTTTGCTACAGACATTTTTTAAATAACAGTTTACTCAGTTAATTTGCTTTGTCACTAAATAAGAATAAGGTTTGGGAATGGAATGCAATCTGAAGGATTTCATTTTAATTAATATTTTTAGTTTCATATTTTACAAATATTTTATACATAAAGAAACCAAGACGAAAATTCCTAGAGATACTGCTTACACCAGCAGAGAATCCGGTCTCAACTTTTCACTGGCCCAATCTGCAAATACCTGTTTATGTGAGTAATTTTACTGAAGTGAGTATTCCCATTGAGTTCATTTGGACTAGTCATTATGCAATGTTTCTCACATATGGATGTGTTTGCATGATTAGTACCTTGATTTAACTACACATACTGTATAATTTTTCAACTTGTACTGTAAGATGGTAGAATTTAGACTGCTTTAGCAGTTGGTCATTTAGGCTTGCTTCTACAACAAATTAATATTGTTTAAAAGAGAATTAGGATTATTAACCCTATTAAAATACCTTGCAGGGTAATTTCTAAAATACCAAGGAACTACTACAAAAAAAAAAAAAATTAAAAAAACCCCACAGTCTATTTGGACACTTTTTCTTATGGTTTCAATATGCCTTAAGGGTTTGTTTCTTTTTCAATGTAATTATCTTAACAGGAAGCAAAATCCTTCTGCAGCAACAGTTGGTATACACACAGAGACTGACTTTGAAATGATTTAACCCCTAATCCTGATCCCAGTGGGAAAACTACTATGACGAGTGGTACAGGCTCAAGCCCTAATATTTCTATATTATAAATATCTTTAAACACCATTTTTCTCACTTTAGTTAAATATTAAAGTGAGAAAAATTATTTCTACATATACGTATACTCTAAAACTATGTGAAATGGTGAAGTCATGTGGTTAGTGAAAAGGATGCACAGTACTAGGGTCTGATTCTACAAACTCTTTTTCATTACTTATGAGAAGAATGCAACTGAGTTTGGGGCATTCCTAAGGGATGGAGGGAATGAGAGAAGAGAAAGAAAAGAAAGGCTTAAGCACACAAAAGCAAAAATGAATTGTAACTTAGTTTCTGATAAGACGCCTCCACTACTCACATCTTGTTTTCACCCGGATCAGCAATTGTACATTTATTGTAATTCCGGTCCGTTTGGCTTTGTATTACACAGGGTCATGGATTTCCTTTGACAAGTTTTCTAAATTTCACAAGTTCTAGACAATTATTCTAAATGGTCAGTGGAGAAACACTTTTCCCCTGCATAGAGTAAGAATGATTTATGTTACAATGACTATTTCTGCACACATACTTCCTTTGGTTTTCTCTAAATATGCTATGGGTTCATACTTGCTCCCATTGAAGTCAATGAGAGTTATGTCATTGTCTACAAGGAAGTTAAAGTAGGTCTTCTGTGACTCAAATTAAAAATATATTGTTTGGGCAGTTTCAAACAACAAGTAGTCCAATTAATGTCTCAGGCCAATACACCAACACCACATACAAAATGCCCAGCATTCAAATTTGAGGCTAAGGGTCTTTGTCCAAGTTAACTAGGCTGGCCATAATTTAGATGTGACTTGTGTTGTTGGAGGCCAGATCTGCACTAGAGGAGAAGGTCAAATCAAGGTACACAACTCCAGCTACATTAATTAGCATACAGGTCAACATACCTTGTTTCAAATTTCCCGGCGGTCTCCACAGCAGGAGGCTGACGGGAGCAAATGCTCTCGTTAGCTTCCCTGCTCCTTGCAGAACCAGGAGTATTTGTTGCTGTTGGGAGCACCCTCTGAGTTCGATTTAGCTAGTCTTACCTAGACCTGGAAAATGGCACTCCGGAAGACTGATCGCAGCAGCATCAATCTTCTGTTTAGTGAAGACATGACCAGAGAAAAGAATAGGATAAACTTGCTCATGGGAGAAACATGTTCATTTCTCTCTCTTAAAAAACTGCCCACCTCATTTGTCTGAGGCACTATACAATAAAGCAGTGTTCAATGTTGATATATTCAGTTTTGATAAATGCAAAGAGATTGGAAAACAATTCCAACTATGCATATAAAATGATGGGATCAAAATTAGCTATTACCACTCAAGAAAGATCTTGGAGTCATTGTGGATAATTCTCTGAAAACATCCACTGAATGTGCAGCAACACTCAAAAAAGTTGATAGAATATTGGGAATCATTCAGAAAGGGATAAATAATAAGATGAAAAAATATAATATTGCCTCTACATAAATCTAAGATATACCCATATCTTAAATACTGTGGGCAGATGTCATAAGCCCATTTTTTTTAAAATCTTGCCATTGGAAAAAGTTCAGAAAAAGGCAACAAAAATGATTAGATGTATGGAACAGCTGCTGTATGAGGAGAGTTTATAAACACTGGGACTTTTCAGCTTGCAAAAAGAGATGACTAAATATATGATAGAGATCTATAAAATCATGACTGGTGTGGAAAAAGTGAATAAAGAAGAGCTATTTACTCCTTCACATATCACAAGAATTAGAAATCACCAAATGAAATAAATAGGCAGCAGGTTTAAAAACTGACAAAAGGAAGTTTTTCTTTTCTCAGCGCACAGTCAACCTGTGGAACTCCTTGCCAGAGGATGTTGTGAAGACTAGGACTTAGTTCAAAAGAAGAACTAGATAAATTCATGAAGCGCAGGACTATCAAAGGCTGTTAGTCAGGATGGGCAGGAACAATATCTCTAGCCTCTGTCTGATCTGGAAGTGGATGACAGGGAATGGATCACTTGATGATTACCTGTTCTGTTCAGTCCCTCTCAGGCTTCTGGCATTAATCACAGTCAGAAACAGGATACCAAGCTAGATGGATCTATGGTTGTTCTTATGTCTCTTTTAATCATGGGATCAAGACAGGAAAAAGCCATACTGGAATAAGTCAGGCAAAGGAATTCATTTATGTATCTTTCTTGCTAACTTTTAAGGAAATGATTACTTGGGAGCATGCTTATATAATCTTAACAGAAGCAAAATAGAAGTCAATAGAAACTTTTCCTGCATTAAGACTTCAGGAGATGTGCTTTGCATACCATACAAATTTGGAAAGAACAATATTCTGAGGTTCAAACTGCCAATATATTTCACAAAAGGATCTTGTTAGAAATGGTTTAGGTTGGATGAAAATCTATTGTGCCTAACTTCACTATATTTTACATCTTAGCTAACTATATAAGAAGATACATAACTGTATAAAGAGATGTTTTTGTTCAGTAAATCTCATCCAATTTTTATGTTGGTAAAATGCAAGCTGTAAGTGGTAAAGTAGTTACAGTTTTTCCACCATGGTATTTGCTGACAAAAGAAAATACATAAAAACATGTCATTTATTGAGTATCAAAATGCTTGACAATTAAATCCAACTAAGTAATCTAGATAAAATTAATATTTTCTAATTTAGCCAGTCTTCTTCTTGTCTTGCCATTTTCTTTTTGCAATGAGAACAAAGAAACACATCCTGAAAAACTAGCTAATAGAGCTGGCCAAAAAAATGAGGAAAACTTGTGAAAATCATCATGCAAATGTTGAGTGATCACCCAGTACATATCAGTGGCCCTGATGGAGTCTCCATCACTCACATTTTTTAAATCAAGACTGGATATTTTTTGAGGAGATATGCTCTAGGAATTATTTTGGGGAAGTTCTATGGCTTATGTTATATAAGAGATCAGACAACATGGTTACAGTGGTCCTTTCTGATTCTGGAGTCAGTGACAAAATGAAGTTTTAGAGCAACTACTTATTATTTTGAAATATCAAATTTTAGATTTCCTAGTGTTTTTCATCTAAGTGATGGTCACTAGCAGCTGCACAGAAATGGTCTTCTATTTGCATCAAAGCTATGAGACATTGCTTTTAAAAATGCTCTGGCCCCAGTGGTTTATGCAACTTCTATATTCCATCTAACTCACCCATGTTTCTAGTTTATCACTTACAGCACTACAGGTAGAAAAAAAAAGATTGTTGATAAAATCAGCCTTGCCAGCTGGAATTCCAAGCTACAGCTTAATGGTTACTGCAGAAGGCCTTGCTTTGTTCCTGCAACCCTGAAAACACAACATTCTTTTAACATAACATGACTTTGTCACTGTTCAGTACATTATTAAATAAAACTTCCCAGAAATTCCATTTTTAGCCTTTAGGTGCTACTGGAATAGCATACCTAGTTTACATCCTAAACTGCACACTCCTTGGGGAAGGGTTCTTGCCATCTTGGCTCTCTGAAAAGCATCACAAATACTTGCGGTGCCATAAGAACATAAGAATGGCCATGCTGGGTCAGACTAATGGTCCATTTAGCTCAGTATACTCTTTTCCAAAAGTAGCTGGAGTCAGATGCTTCAGAGGGAATGAATAGAACAGTGCAATTACTGATTGATTCAGCCCCAGCTTCTGGCATGCAGAGGCTTAAGGACACCTAAAGCATGGAGTTGCATCCCTGACTATCTGGGTTAATAGCCATTGATGAACTTATCTACATTTTTGGACCACAATCTAATTTTGGCCTTCACAACATCTCCTGCCAATGAGTTCCACATATTGACCGTGTGAAGAAGTACTTCCTCATAGTTTTTTTAAACCTGCTGCCTATTAATTGAATCGCGTGATTTCCAGTTATTGTGTTATGTGAAGGGATAAATAACACTTCCTTATTCATTTTCTCCAAACCACTCATGATTTTATAGAATTCTGACATAACCTCTCCTCTTAGTCATTATGAAATAAAATAAATAATGTTGCCTTGTTTGAAAAGAGTGCATTTTCCAGATGCCAAATTCCTCTCTACAAATGGATTCACACTTCTTGTTTTATTTGCCTGATCTTTATGCCTGATCCAACCTAATTGTCCTATCTTCAATGTGCCTGCCATGCTGATATCTAGGTTTCATGCAGTGTGGGGTGTTTTTTTTCCAGTCTTTAGTATGTTCACCTACATAATGGGTATTTAAATCCTCTGTAGTTACATCTATTTCTATAGCTATAGACATATAGTTGAGTTTGTTTGTTTGGCTGGTTGGTTGGTTGATTGGCTGTTTTTACTGGTTTTGTACTGAAAAGAACAGCATTAAGAAGAAAAATATAATCACAAAATAAAAGAATACTCTGGTGTGGCACATATCTCTGATAAGAAGGGTAGAAGTTAGGGGATTTCAGAGGAACTTTCTTTCTGGGAGTGAAATTTCTCTTTTCAAAGGAACCTGACTGGCCACTTGTAGGTGGCATGGAATGAACTAATTAGAAACTTACATTGTGCTGAACATGGGCACCTTCGCTACACTCTGACCAGGGCTAGAGCAAGTACCCAGGCGCGCTGAGCCCTGGGAGGTTGCTGGGGGAGTTTGGCAATTCTTGCCGGGGGACCCAAAGAGCAGGCTTGGCCCTGCCAGGACATGGCTGGGGGGCTCGCTACTTACACTTTAACCAGCGGGCTCCCGCGTGAGTGTCTTTCTCTTGGATGAGCCTCCTCTGGCTGTAGCTCCTGCAGATGTACCACAGCATCCAGAGCAGCTGGATGAGCATGATGGTGATGAGATAGGAGAGCAGATCCTGCTTCCTGATGCCCACCGCATGCACAGCCCAGGCGAACATGAGCAGCAGCCCGGCGAGGAACAGGTTGATGCCGTACTGGCTGCTCAGGAGCTCTGCA